TAGATAACGTAAAAATAGAGAGTCGGTCGACGGACTCGATTACAACACGCTCAGGAAGTAAAAATTAAAAAAAATCACCATAACCACCACCACACAACTTGAGAAGCAGTACAAAGTAGTAGAGTTAAATAATTCATTATCGTATGATATGTATCTCCAAGACTATTAGACTACGTATTGCAAGCAATGCGCACTCTTATACAATACCTCGCTGCGCACTCTTGTACATTTGTACATAACCTAATGTTTTCAAAGTTAAAAGCTTTTGATGGATAGAAAGTATAAAACTGTTAGTGTATAACGATACCTTAAAAGTTACAACTAATGAAAATTATTACTGTAAAATAAAAGAACTGGTACGTACCTTACAAAAAACTAAAACTATGAGCGGTAAAAATTACATCCACACAACGTGTGAACATAAAATCGTCAGTACGACCAAACTATAAACTATATTCAGGTCACTTTTGCACCTTTATCTCAGGTTTAGCATTAAATTCTGAATGGTATAACTTCATCTTACCCAGATGGCACTAATAAGCAGAAATCATCAGTGCGTACTCTTATACATATTCGCACTCTTGTACACATTTACCCTACTACATACCCTCGACTAGGGAAATTTTCATTAAAGATTCCAAGAATTAAACTTGCCACGTATCTTCCACAACTATCGGTTGTTTCATCGACAGCGAACCATAAATAATTATCTCCAATGCGATGTTTAATTTCGTTGTAAACTTGCTGAAACACTGGACCTACATAATTTTTTCGGAGAGTACTTTCAACCGGAATATGTCGATTGCAGTGTTTTTCAAGGAATTCTTGAAGAGGGCCTGTCTTCAATTTTTTTAAAGGTATATTGGACTGGATCATCATTTTACATAAATCGAAATTAAACTGAAACTGCTCATCTTTTGTGGAAGTAGATGCAACAGATTCATGTATGGTCTGCTGTTTAATTTTAGAAACTTCAAACATTTTCTTCCTTTCTACATGAAGAGTCGTTCTGACATGTTGCGTCACGTTATATTTTTTATCACTTTGAATCTAAAACAACGTACATATACAGGATTAACAAAGGAAAATAGATAAAAAAAAAAATAGTGGGCTTACGGTTTTCACACAAGCTCTGCAGAATATTTTGTTGTTTTCTAATTTTAATTCTGGAAAATCCCTTATCCACTCATCCGGCGTCGATTTTACTTTCGGCATTCTTTTAAAATATTAGTAATATTACCAAAAAGAACTCAACATGTAACAAGGGAGAACCAAGTATAACACTGTACTACGACAGATGCGATAGAGTGATGGTTGTGAAATAAACGGTTCATTTACTTAAAAGTTTCCATTAGAAAAATTTTAAGGTAGGTAGTTGGGTACAATAATCCTTTTTTCTAGAAAATCTTCAACGGTTTTGCCGCAAAATGCCGAAAAATAACATCTGGTTAAAAGCTTTAATTCATTATCAACGGAAGTAAGGATTTAAAGTCATAACATCTATGGAGTATTTTTCCAATCCTATAATAAAATTTTATTACCCAAACGACCGGAACCTATTCACAGAAAGGGTCTTGAGTAAGTGTACTTGAATGGTCAAGTCCAGGTAAAATGCATACGATACGATACGGCTAACTAACAAGTATTTGTCATCCAGACAAGGCCGGCATTCGAACAAAATATGCATTAAAACTCATATTCTTTGAAAAAAGCATTAAATAAGCATATAAGTTTTAATATGCATAAAATTGAAAAAAAAACAAATAAGCATAAAAAAAATGTGTCAAATGCCTCCAAATTGTATCCTAGTTACAGATATAAAAAAGTTTTGAAGTGCTTACATTTTTCACAAAAAGCATTAAACCTAGAAATCCGCTCTCTATTTATTACTGTTTCCATCAAGTTACAATTGATTTTTTTGATTTCGGCAAAATTTATTAATAAATTAAAAAATTGGTCTAAAGAGTTTAGACAGTACTTCCCTCACTGTCGGAAACTTGACGACTGCACGCCTATTGTGTTTTTTTTCTCATTACATTTTTGTAGTGGGAATTTAAAAAAAAATTCGATGACGTCATCAACATTTTTGCAAGGAAACGTATATCAGTTGGGATAGATGTAGTGTAATACTAAGAATAAAATTATTATATTCTCAAATTTTCGGGAAAATGAATTGGGTCGTTTTGAATATTGATTTGTAATAATCAATAAAATAACGAAACAATTTACTCACGTATACGTATCAGAGGCAACTGAAAATCGTGTATGTATAAACATTCTTAATTTAAGATGACAGGCGTAACAGCATACGTGAGAGTCAAACAGAGAAACTGTAAACAAAACGACCATCGGTTTTATTGCTTCGACTTTCGCTTATTATATAAAACATTGGGTTTTATTTTAATTCTTGACGGTGAAATTCACAATTGGTTGATTATAAACATGTCTATTTCACATTCGGGGAACCAAGTGAGCGCATAAAACAAATGCAGGCCTGTAATGTTAAAGTCGATGTAAATAAGCGTGCTACCCTTATGTTTCAACCGAGTTTTTCCTTTAACAAATTTTGTGTCTACCAAATTGGGTTGGTTGGGGTGTAATACTAATAATAAGTGTTGCCTTTAATTTAATCAATAAAATAAATTGACTTCATTAATTTTTTTGAACCACCTCTTAAGAAAATCTAAAAAATATGAATGGAATGATAAATCACAAGTACAAACTCATCATATTTTTTGCATTTTAGATAGGATTTATTCAGCAAAATTTAAGGGTGACGTCATTAATTTTTTTAGGAGGGATGAACAAATACATTTTGAACAAAAGTTTACCATGCTTATAATAACTTTAAAATATTCCCAAGATTTCAAAGCATTCGGTTTTGTAATTCCTGATTAAATCGATAAAATAAATTCACGCCTTCATTAATTTTTTGAGTCACCCTGCATATGCAAATCCAAAAATATGAATGGAATGATAAATCACAAGTACAGACTCATCATATTTTGTACATTTTAGATACGATTTATTCGGCAAACTTTTGAGCTGACGTCATCAGTTTTTTGTAGAAGATAACCAAATATATTTTGACTAAAAATTTATTATGCTCTTTATAACCTTAAAACATCTGCAAGATTTCAAAGCATTCGGTTTTGTAGTTCCTGATTAAATCAATAAAATAAATTTACGCATTCATTAATTTTTTTGAGTCACCCTGTATATGCAAATCGAAAAAATTTGAATGGAATGATAAATCACAAGAAGAGACTCACCATATTTTGTACATTTTAGATAGGATTTATTCAGCAAAATTTTGTGGTGACGTGATAAATTTTTTAGGGGGGACGACCAAATACGTTTTGTTCAAAAATTTACCATGCTTATGATAATTTTAAAATATCTTCAAGATTTCGAAGCATTCGGTTTTGTAGTTCCTGAGTAAATCAGTAAAATAAATTTACGCTTTCATTTATTTTCTTGAATCACCCTGTATATGCAAATCCAAAAAATATGAATGGAGTGATAGATCACAAGTACAGACTGATCATATTTTGTACATTTTAGATATGATTTATTCGGCAAATTTTCGAGCTGACGTCATCAAGTTTTTGGAGGGGATAAGCAAATATATTTTGACTAAACATTTATTATGCTCTTTATAACCTTAAAACATCTGCAAGATGTCAGAGCATTCCGTTTTGTAGTTCCTGATTAAATCAATAAAATATATTTACGCATTCATTATTTTTTCTTTAGTCACTCTGTATATGCAAATCCAAAAAATATGAATGGAGTGATAAATGACAAGTACAGGCTCATCATATTTTGTACATTTTAGATATGATTTATTCGGCAAACTTTCGAGCTGACGTCATCAAGTTTTTGGAGGGGATAAGCAAATATATTTTGACTAAACATTTATTATGCTCTTTATGACCTTAAAACATCTGCAAGATTTCAGAGCATTCGGTTTTGTAGTTCCTGATTAAATCAATAAAATATATTTACGCATTCATTAATTTTTTTGAGTCACCCTGTATATGCAAATCCAAAAAATATGAATGGAGTGATAGATCACAAGTACAGACTCATCATATTTTGTACATTTTAGATATGATTTATTCCACAAACTTTTGAGCTGACGTCATCAAGTTTTTGGAGGGGATAAGCAAATATTTTTTGACTAAAGATTTATGATGCTCTTTATAGCCTTAAAACATCTGCAACATTTCAAAGCATTCTGGTTAGCAGATTAAAAATTAAATTTCAAAATGTTGTTTTATAATTTTGATTTTTTCTCCAAAAATCTGGACGTTTCGGGTGAAAAGTCGATTCAGAGTTGTAAACTACATGTGTAGGACTATGTTATTTTATACAATTGAAAACCCATTTACTATGTACAATTTTGAAGTGACGTCATCGCATTAGTGGTGGGGATGATTAGACAAATTTTGGTTAGCGTTTTACCATCTACATGATATTCTTAATATAAGTACAAAATTTTACAACAATCGGTCGAGTACTTTCGGAGATTATCTGTCTAATAAAAATCCGGGACAACAGACGGACAGACGGACAGACGGACAGACGGACAGACGGACAGACGGACAGACGGACAGACAGACGGAAATGGGAGACCTATTTCTTCGTCTTCTAGGGGTCATGAAAGATCGAGAAAACGTAAAAGTAGAGAGTCGGCCGACGGACTCGATTACAATACTTCCTTTGCTTACGCTCGGGAAGTAAAAACGATATTAATGTTAGTTAATTAAATAAATAATATTCCACGCACATTTTAAGTCGTTCAGTGTCTCTCGTGTGGCTCTATTTCATCTTTTTTTCATTGATGTAATCGGACCTACCTTAATGGAGATATTTATGGAGCACACCCTACACTCGGTATTTTTGGTCATTCCGGACACGTTTGTAGCACACACACATTTTTATGGCCTGTGCAGTTGCATTACGTTAAATTAAACGAGGAGGTAGGAATGTATGGGTGAACATGGATGGAATTTTTATTTCATGGGTTTTATCCCATGTATAATAACAAAATGTTCCGTGATATATATCACGATTTTCGTCTACACGGCCGGCATAAATTTTCACTTTATCGTATTAAGTGCTAATCGTTTTGGGACACTCTTCTATCTTGATGCATTCTTGTGATTTATCTTGCAGAATGTAGCCTTCTGTGCAGAAACATCCTTGGGAGCAGTTTTTGTCGCAGCCGGGCGTGGGAGCTAGACAGGTTGGGGGGCACTTGGTGCCGCAAGAGTCATATTCTTCGTTTTTTCTGCAAGCACCTTAATTTGTTTTTAAATTGTAGGTATACTAGTCCAAATTATAAATACCTTGGCAGTCTTCAACTGGTATACACTTTCCTTGTAAATTTTCTCGAATGTAGCCCTCTTGGCAAAAACACCCGCTAACGCAGACCTCTGGACAATCTCCGGGTTGCGGAATTTGACAAGTAGGTGGACAGTACGTTCCGCAGAAGTCGTAAATTTCGTTGGGACCGCACCTGTTGGTGTCTAAGACAAAATTATGTATTATATAGTGGAAAAATTTTTGGGAGACTTACTGGAAAGGGCAAGGGTGGCACAAAAAAGGACCAACACAATTCTGATCATCGTTAGTCAAAATTGGAACGAAAAATATTTTGGCAAAGTATTAGTACACTTTTGGGTGATGGCAGATAAAGATATCGTTTCGGTTGAGAGATTGTGAGTGATTGACTTTTGTTTTGTTTCGTCTGACGTCATTTAGTGACGCTAGTGCGTATTGTGAATAAAGAGATTTTATCAAAAAATTTTATCTTTCCGTATGTGTGTGGTTTGTTTACTGGAGTGTATTTGTGGCTTATTAGCCCGCCTTGAGTTTTAAGTACTTGGAAACAAATCAAAATAATATAACTTAACTTAACAATTAGGTATCTTGCAGTTTTTAACTCAACAGCTTATTATTTTAATTTATAAAGGTTATAATTTTGGGTCACATGGTGTTTATTTTTCGGAGAGTTTGAAAGAATTTAAACGGATTCCCGTGTTTTATTTTTAAAAGAATCTAAAACTACCCCGGTGAACTCTGGTGTTTTCTTTTTAAGATTGAAATATTTTCGGAAGACCTACATGTTTTTTTTTTTAAATAACATAAAACAATCTTGTTGAGGATCCTAAAAATGGTTCAAATGGGCCGCTTATGTTTCTTTTTTAAAAGAATTTAAAAGAAGCTAGGAGACCTCTGGTGTTTTATTGTTAATAAAGTATATGTGGAAGAATTTTCAGAAAACCTGGTGTTTTATTTTTCGGTGAGGTTTAAAGAATCACGAGGACTCTGGTGTTTTATTATCCGATGAGATTGAAAGAATTTTTGGGTGTTTTATTTTTAAAATAAGTATTTGAAAAATTTTCGGGGGCTCCAGTGTTGAAATGAAGTTGAAAGAATCTCTGGACTCCTTTGTGTTTTATTTTTAAGAGATATTAAACTGTCTCAGGAATTACAGGTGTCTTACCTTTCAATGAGTTAGAAACAATCTCCGGATCTTCTGGTGTTTTATTGTTGAGGTTGAAAAAATCTGAGCGTTACTTTGTTATTTATTTTTAAGATTTATAATAAAGAATCTCTGGGGATTCTGGTATTTTCTGATGTTTTATTTTTAAAATATGTGAAAAATTCTCGGGGGCTCCAGGTATTTTATTTTCAGATGATATTGGAAGAATCCCAGGGCACCTCTGTGTTTTAATTTTTTAAGAGATATTAAGGGGTTTCGGGGGTTTTAAATGTTCTACCCTTCGATGGAGTTGAAAAAAATCTCAGAGCTACTTTGTTTTTATTTTTAAAATTAAAAAAAAAAAAAATATCCGGGGCTCCTGGTATTTTCTGGTGTTTTATTTTTAAAATACATGAAAAATTCTCGGGTGTTTTATTTTTAGATGAGGTTAAAAGAATCTTTGGGTCCCTTTGTGTTTAATTTTTATAATACATTAAAGAATTTCGGGAGTCCCTGGTGTTTTATTCTTCGAAGAGGTTGAAATAATCTGGAAGCTCCTGGGATTTTATTTTTCGACGTGGTTAAAAGAATCTCAGAGCCTTTTTGGGTTTTAGTTATAAGATATAGTAAAAAATTTCGTGGCCTCCTATTGTCTTATTTTTCCATGAGGTTGAAATTATCTCTGTGGCTTCTGGTGTTTTATTTTCCGATGAGATTGAAAGAATCTCATGGGTTCCTAGTGTTTTATTTTTCAAAGTGTTGTGTGTGTAGTGTTTTTCTTTGAAGAGGTTGAAAGAATTTGGGGGCTCCTAGCGTTCTGTTCTTCGTTAAAGTTAAAAGAATCTGGGGGCTCCTTGGTGTTTTAATTTTAATAGTATTAATCTCGGGGGCTCCTAGTGTTTTATCCTTCGATGAAGTTGAAACAATCTCGGTGGCTTCTGAGAATCTGGACGCTCCTAGGATTTTATTCTTCGACGAGGTTAAAAGAATCTCAGAGCCTTTTTGGGTTTTATTTATAATATATAGTAAAAAATCTCGTGGCCTCCTAGTGTCTTATTTTTCCATGAGGTTGAAATTATCTCCGTGGCTTCTGGTGTTTTATACTTCGATGAGGTCAAAAAAATCTCGGGGATTACTGGTATTTCAGTCTTCGATGAGGTTGAAAAAATGTTGGAGGCTCAGATGTTTTATCCCTCGATGAGGTCGAAAGAATCTCAGGGGCTCTTGGTGTTTTATTTTCCGATAAGATTTAAAGAATCTTAGAACTCCTTCATGTTTTAATATTAAATTGTATTAAAGAATCTAGAGAGTTCCTGGTGTTTTATTTTTCGATGAGGTTTAAATGATCTCAGGGCTCCCTCATGTTTTAATTTTAAATTGTATCAAAGAAACTGGAGGGGTCCTAATGTTTTATTTTTTGATGAGGTTAAAAGAATCTCAGGGCCCTTTTGGGTTTTATTTTTAAGATATGGTAAAAAATCTCGGGGGCTCCTAAAGTTTTATCCTTCGATGAGGTTGAAACAATCTAGGGGGCTCCTTGTGTTTTATTCTTTAATAAGGTTAAAATAATCTCTGGGGCTTCAGGTGTTTTATACCTCGATGAGATCGAAAGAATCTCGGGGGTTCATAGTGTTTTATCTTTAGATGAATGAGGTTGAAAGAATCTCATTGATTCCTAGTGTTTTCTTGTTCGATGAGGATGAAACAAACTCGGTGGCTCCTGGTGTTTTATCCTTCGGTGAGGTTAAAAGAATCTCGGGGACTTCAGGCGTTTTATCCCTCGATGAGATCGAAAGAGTCTCGAGGGTTCCTAGTGTTTTATTCTTCGATGAGGTTGAAAGAATCTCGGAGACTCCTGATGTTTTATCGTTAGATGACATTGAACAAATATCAGAGGCTCAGGTGTTTTATCCCTCGATGAGGTCCAAAGAATCTCGAGGGCCCCTGGTGTTTTATTTTTCAATGAGGTTTAAAGAATCTCGGTGCTCTTACATGTTTTCATTTTAAATTGTATTAAAGAATCTCGGGGGCTCCTGGTGTTTTATTTTTCGATGAGGTTAAAAGAATATCATGGGCTCTTTTGGGTTTTATTTTTAAGATATGGTAAAAAGTCTCTTGTGTTTACTCTTTAATGGGGTTACAAGATTTTCGGGGGCTTCAAGTGCTTTATGCTTCTGTGAGGTCGAAAGAATTTCGGGTATGCTTGATATTTTATTCTTCGATGAGGTTGAAGGAATCTCGGAAATTCCTAGTGTTTTGTTTGAAAAATTTCAGAGGATCTTGGTGTTTCATTTTCTTATGAAATTCAAAGAATCTGGGGGCTCCTGCTCTTCTATTTTTCGATAAGGTCGAAAGAATCTCGGGGGTTCCTAGTGTTTTATTCTTCGATGAGGTTGAAATGAGGCTTCTGGTTTTTTCTAATTCGCTGAGGTTGACAAAATGTGGGAGCCCCAGGCGTTTTATCCCTCGGTGAGGTCGAAAGAATCTCGGGGACCCTGGTGTTTTATTTTCCGATAAGGTTTAAAGAATCTCAGGGCCCTTTTGGGTTTTATTTTTAAGATATGGTAAAAAATCTCGGAGGCCCCTAGTGTTTTATACCTCGATGAGGTTGAAAGAATCTCGGGGGTTCACAGTGTTTTATTTTTAGATGAGGTTGAAACAATCTCGTAGATTCCTGGTGTTTTATTGTTCGATGAGGATGAAACAATCTTGGTGGCTCCTGGTGTTTTATCTTTCGGTGAGGTTAAAAGAATCTCGGGGACTTCAGATGTTTTATTCCTCGATGAGGTCGAAAGAATCTCGAGCGTTCCTAGTGTTTTATTCTTCGATGTGGTTGAAAGAATCTCGGAGATTCCTGGTGTTTTATCGTTCGAAGAGGTTGAACAAATGTCGGAGGTTCAGGTGTTTTATTTTCTAGTGAGGTTTAAAGGATCTCAGTGCTCCCTCATATTTTCAGTTTAAATTGTATTAAAGAATCTCGGGGGCTCCTGATGTTTTATTTTTCGATGCGGTTAAAGTAATCTCAGGGTCCTTTTGGGTTTTATTTTTAAGATATGGTACAAAATCTCGAGGGGTTCTAGTGTTTTATCCTTCGATGAGGTTAAAAGAATCTTAGGAGCTTCAGGTGTTTTATTCCTCGACGAGGTCGGAAGAATCTCGGGGGTGCCTAGTGTTTTATTCTTCGATAAGGTTGAAATAGTCTCCTAGGCTCCTGGTTTTTTACAGTTCGCTGAGGTTGAAAAAATGTCTGAGGCTCAGGTGTTTTATACGTCGGCGAGGTCAAAAGAATCTTGGGGGGAGCTGGTGTTTTATTTTCCGATGAGGTTTAAAGAATCTCAGGGCTCCTTCTTGTTTTAATCTTAAATTGCATTAAAGAATATCGGAGGCTCCTGGTGTTTTATTTTTCGATGAGGTTAAAAGAATCTCAGGGCCCTTTTGGGTTTTATTTTTAAGATATGGTAAAAAATCTCGGAGGCTCCTAGTGTTTTATCCTTCGATGAGGTTGAAACAATCTGGGGGGCGTCTTGTGTTTTATCATTTAATGAGGTTAAAAGAATCTCTGGGGCTTCAAGCTTTTTATACCTCAATGAGGTCGAAAGAATCTCGGAAGGCCCTAGTGTTTTATTTTTCGATGAGATTGAAAGAATTTCGAAGACCTTTGTGTTTTATTCCTAATATTTTATTCTTCGATGAGGTTGAAAGAATGTCAGGATCACTTTGTGTTTTAATTTTAAGATAAAGGAATCTCAAAGGCCCCTAGTGTTTTATTTTCTGATGAAGTTGAAAAAATCTCGGAGACTCCAGGTGTTTTATCCTTCGATGAAATTGAAAGAATCTCCCGGACCCCTTGTGTTTTATTCTTAAAATGTATGAAAAAATCTTGGGGGGTCCTAGTGTTTTATTCTTTGATGATGTTACAATAATTTCGGGGACTCCTGATGAGGTTGAAAAAAATCTCAGGGCCCCTTATGTTTTGTTTGTTAATTTTGAGAGAATCTCGGGGGTTCCTGGTGTGTTATTTTCCGATGAGGTAAACGGAATTTCAGGGGTTCCTTCGATGATGTTGAAAGAATCTTGGAGGTTCCTAGTGTGTTATTATTCGATGAGGCTTTAAGAATCTTAGAGGCTCTAGACGTTTTATTTACCGTTGAGGCTAAAGAATCTTCGGACCCCCTTAGTTCTGTTTTTAAAACATATGAAAGCCTCTCGGGTCCCTTGGTGTTCTAT